CCCCGGAGAAAGTTATCTGGATGTGGATTGGTTTCCCTTTTCTCATGCTGGAATAAGAGATCATTAAAATCTCCTATTACAACCCACGGAAGCGGAGATTTCCCCACCAATGATTTCAGCAACTCCCATGATTCTCGCCTTTGACTACTCTTAGGGAAACCATAGAAACACGTCATACGCCATGTCTCTCCTGATGACATACGGACCTCAATATCCACATGGTTTTTCGAATAGCCCAGAAGTGTAGCCGTATTATTCTTCTTCCACAACAAAGCCAGTCCCCCACCATTCCTCACATTATCCACATAGAACAAAACTTCAAAACCTATCCTCACACGGAGCCTCTCCGCATGATCTCGTTTCACCATTGTTTCCATTAAAAATACAAAGTCAGGCTTCTTACCGGACACAATGTCCACAATCTCTCGAACTGTACGTGGGTTGCCCAAGCCACGACAGTTCCAACTTATCGTACTCATGATGATGGGCGGGACTGGGCTCTAGTTCCCGCCGATCGCAAGTTTTTTGACACATCGGTCATAGCCACATCTTCTCCTTCACCCTCAGCCCCTCGGCGGCGCTTGACATTTGCCACCACTCCCTCCACCCTCTCCCCAACCCCCATACTGCCCTCCCTTATCTCCCCCTCTTCCCGCCCCCATGCACCGCCACCTTCCACACCCTCCCCCACCTCCTCCCTCACCCTAGGTTTCGGTTTCCCCCCAACCGGCACTAGCCAATTTTCCCCCACCGCCCTCGGCGCACCCCTACTCCCTCCCGCCCGTAACCCTACAAACGGGTGCATCTCAACTAGTGTCGGCCTCTCACGTGCTTTCAGACAGAACATGTGAACATGACCCAACATCCCACAAAACAAACAGTGTTTGTGCAGACGTTCATACCGAAAAGTTATCCAACTTACCGACTTATCTCGTTTCACCAACTTCATGCCACGCCTCAACGGCTTCCCTACCGCAATAGATACACGGATTCGGTATAACGTAAGCCATGGTGCCCACGCGAACCTCTCATCATGTTTCACAAACTTGCCTATAAAGTTCCCAGCCTGCTCAAGTACTGTATCCGATGTATATCCCATCGGCAATCCATGCAACTGAACCCACATATCAATTGAATTCAGCTCCACCTCCCCCGGCACTGCTCCGGCCACCACCTCCCGGCATACCAAGGTATTATTCTCGAAACCCCATGGACCCCCATCCAAGACGTAATCTATGTCCGTCCTATGATAAAAGACAAACAAGAAAAGTCCCGGTTAAATCTCCATAACCTGCACCCCCCTCACCGGTTGCCATACGGATGCCATAACATGCTTCATGAACTCCAATTTAACCAGCTTCGTAGTTAGGAACCTGCCGACAACAGCCCACGTCTCCTCGTCATCCACCTGGAGTTCACCGACTCCTTCCCCCTCCGGCACAAACTCGTCATGTTCATCCTCCAACTCAAAACCCTCCCACCGTGCTGTCAACCTCTCGACGTCACTGTCTTCCTCCGCCATGCCTGCTGCGTTCTGTCGGCCTCGCTTCACGTCAGAAAGAAGCCGACGCTCCTCGTCACAGAAATCCGACGCTACTCGCCGTAGAAAACGACCGGAAATCGCAAGAAAACTAGGTTTCCCTAGAGAGAATGCCGAAACCCTAGTTTTACCCTAGAGAGAGAGTCATACCACTATAGAGAGAATTTACATAATTACATTGATTTATTCTTAATTGTATTTCATCTATATTATAATTTTCACAATACGAATAATAACTTACATTTGGAAACAAATTTCAAATTTTGTATGAGTAAATTTAAACTCAAATTGAACATATTTTTTATATGATTATAATATATATATATATATATATATATATATATATATATATATATATATATATATATATAGCTATTTTATTTTTCAAAAGTACATTTTTTATATGATTATATAATATATAGCTATTTTATTTTTCAAATGTTGTGTTTTTTTTTATATAATAAAAGATGTTGTGGCATTAATTGTAACATTAATTACTTCTCAAACCATATAGCTTTATTATAGTTAAGATTATTATTATTATTATTATTATTATTATTATTATTATTATTATTATTATTATTATTATTATTATTATTATTATTACTATTACTATTATTACTATTACTACTATTATTACTACTATTACTACTATTATTACTACTATTACTAGTATTATTACTATTATTATTATTATTATTATTATTATTATTATTATTATTATTATTATTATTATTATTATTATTATTATGTGGATATAATGTACATTCAGTGCACAAATAATATATTTTTAATATATTAAAATGTACATTATATTTAGGGAAAGTATATTATTTGAGTACTGAAAGTACATTATTTTATATAAGAATTAATATTTGATGCACCGTTGGTGTATAGATGCTATACACTGGCGGTGAAAGAGAAGATGCCACATCATTAAATAAAAAATAAATATTGATCGGGTCCCTTTTTGCAATATTTAAGATTTGTATTTTATTAGAAAACTCTTTATTTCTAACTAACAAAATATATCTATTCTTCTAAACATATTTATTACTTAATTATTTTCTATCTAATGCAATAGAAATTAGATATGGGTAATTAGATAGAAAATAATTAAGTAATAAATATGTTTAGAAGAATAGATATATTTTGTTAGTTAGAAATAAAGAGTTTCCTAATAAAATATAAATCTTAAATATTGCAAAAAGGGACCCGATCAATATTGATTTTTTTATTTAATGATGTGGCATTCTCTCCTTCACCGCCGGTGTATAGCATCTATACACCGACGGTGCATCAAATATTAATCCTTTATATAATGTATATTCAGTACACGAATAATAATGTATTTTTAGTATATTAAAATTTACTTTTTATTTTGCTGTGTGGACCAATAATTTGTTAGGAAATAGGTCATGGGCCTAAATATTTGACTATCAATAGGATAAATAAATATGTTAAAAATAGACATATTGTCTTATTTAAACTCTTATTCTATTTTGAATAGGATTGTATTCTTTATATTGATTTGATTGTGATTGAAAATCATTATTTATATATAGATGTATATTAATCCTCACAACATTATGTATGAAGGCTGAAGGCAAATAATGTCCGGCGACCAAGGAGCGAAAGGTAAGTTGGACTCCCCTATACTTGGTAACTTTTTCATAACAATTACCGAATCACTCCCATAATTTTCAGTCAATATATGCTATGTGCCCTCATGTAATTTTTTAAAGAATTGATCAACTGAAGTTCATATAGATAAATTTTGATGGTTTAAATAAATTAATCTCACATTGCAGGATGCCAATAGTGTAGTATAAAAAAAATTCTAATGCACACATCAAAATTGACAAAAATAAATATGTTAAACTACTAGACATTTGCTTCAGTGTAGCATTTATTTGTAAGGGAAAATTGCATCTTTGATCCCTGAGTTATACCCAAGTTCCGACTCAGTCCCTAAGTTATGACCGTATCCATTTTTAGTTCCTCAGTTATGAGCGAAGTGGCGCATTTGGTCCCTGACCGTTAAAACTGACGGAAAAATATTTAAAATTTTAGGAGTAAAATAGGAAATTCACATTTTATTCTCCTTCTTATATCAAAATCACTTTTGCAACATTATTTTTTACTTTTTAGCATCTTATTTCAAGATTGTTCAATTCTAAAAGCATTTCAATAACTTTAGTATAACTTGTTAGGAACCTGGTTCTCGTATAATAAATTTAAGACTTAGCACAAACAAAGAAACACTTGATCATTGTCTTCAAACGTGTGAAGCACATTATCCTATCAATTTTTAATTTTCTTTACTAAGCAACAAAGGTAATCAAACTAGAACTTTTGAGATAAAAAATGATGTCAAATTTCTCAGGTTGCTTTTATGAGGAATTCACCAACGGAATAACTTGAAATTTTTAGTATGTAAAATTTTTTCATAGGCGACACTCAATAATCATTTTTAGAATTTTCATAATTGAGTCTTAGGTTCCTCATTCATTACTCTGGTTTTTAAGAAGACAGAGGAGGTGATGGGTATATATATAATATAATTTTCATATATTGTCAAGATATACGATTCTTGATTAAGTTACTACAGAGCTTACGAAAGACTTTTATGTACTAAAAATCTCAAGTTACTCCCTTGGTGAATTTGTTATAAAAATAACTTAGAATTTTGAAATCTTCATGTATTTCAAAATTTATGGTCTGATTACCATTATGTTTAGTAAGGAAAATTAGAAAATTTTAGGATGGTGTGTTTTACATGTTTGAAGACAATGATCAAGTGTTCTCTTGTTTGTACTGAGTTACAGATTCTTTATACGAGACTCAAGTTACTAACAAGTCATACGAAGATTATTGAATTGCTTTGGAATTGAAGAACTTTGAAATAGAATGCTACGAAGTTGAAAATAATGTTGTAAAAGTGGTTTCAATATAAGAAAGTGAATAAAATATGAATTTCTTACTTTACCCCTAAAATTTTAAATATTTTTAAATTTTTCCGTCAGCTTTAACGGTCAGGGACCAAATGCGACACTTCGCTCATAACTGAGGGATTAAAAATGGATATGGTCATAACTCAGGGACTGAGTCGTCGCTACCATTATAACTCAGGGACCAAACTCGCAATTTTCCCTATTTATTAATAATGCTTGGCGATGGGCATATTGATTTGCCCGCAGATATTATAATTGAGATTATATTGAGGTTTCCTGTGAAATTCATTTATAGATTTAAGTGTGTGTGCAGAGATTGGTATAATGTAATAGAAAGTCGTGAGTTTAGGGAACATCATTATGCACTGCAAAATGATTCAACATTTATCATTGAGGATTATTCGGGTATCGTAAAGATCTTTGCAGAACAAAATTTGAGAGTTGTGGAAAATATTAAGATGTCAGTGTGAAATTATTGTGAAACCCTTGTGAAAAATGTTGATAAGATGCAGGTGTGGAATGAATGTGAAACCCATCCGTGTCGTGGCATATTCCTTTTGCGCTTTTATAGTAATCGCTTTGGTATATTGAACCCTACAACTAGAGACTTCAAACTTCTCCCGAAGATGCCCGATGTTGTTGCTCGTGCTCCTTACAAGATTATGCTTATGGATTAGGTTGGGACCCTAGTAGAGATGAGTACAAGGTTGTTTTCTTCGACTATGATGGTCTAGGTGGCTTGACAGATCAATTGAATAGTGATTCTCTAGTTGTCGCGGTATATTCATTGAAGAGCGATTCTTGGAAACTTCTCGACTCTCCTCCGCCTAAATTGAGAAGCAGATGCATTAAAAATAGTAAGGATTGGAATATACACATAAATGGGTTTTGTTACTGGCTAACATCATATGGCCACCATCCTTCACTAGTGTCTTTTGATGTGGCTCGAGAGAGATTTGGGATGGTGACATTACCCCCTAAAGTGATGAATGGAAATCACACAGTCCTTTCCACTTACTACAATTCACCAGCATTGTTGTATTGGAGGAGATATGAGGTGATGGAGATTTGGGTTTTGTAACAACAACAACAATATTGGACAAAAGCTTTCAGCTTTAGACAAATGGATCCTGAAATAAATGCAATAGGAATCTGGAACAACACTCATGTTTTGCTGCAAAGAGGATATGCAAACAAACCTTCGAAACAATTTTTTATGTATGATATGAATAATGACCATCATGAAGAAGAGAAGGTGGTCTTCACAAGTGACCATCGACTTACAACTTTTCCCAATTATAAAAAGAGCCTATTCTGCCCAACCAAGATGGCTAAGGATACAAACTTGTAACTACAATGTCACCGAGTTCGAATCCCAGTCCTCTTGCTTTGAGCTGATCAGCTATGGATAACACTAGGTTGGCTTACCTCCTTGTGATTCTTTGTCTGTTAGAGTCACAAGGCGAGGTTTATCTAGTGCACCTATGACATTTTCACTCTTATATTTTCAATGTAAGACTCTATCTTTAATTTTCCATTCTCTAGAAGTTTTTACTAATTTTCCATCTGCAATAAAATGAGGTTGAATGAAAAACATTATGAATATCAGACTAACCATTTCTCAAATTTGCTGCCTTCCATTTGCACTGCATTTCTTTATCACTGAATTCATCCCTTCCCTTGTGCTTCTGCAACTACCTTTACCCTTTACCTGTAACTGCAAAAGGTTATGCATGCAACTATCAACTTGGACAAATTTAAATTGGTGAAGATGAATCAGAAATAAGTCATGATTTAACCACCTATGAGGGAGTACCAAAATTGTCAAACAATATAATAATACTCCTTTCTGAAGGTACATGCATGAGTTCAAGATCATATGATCAAACTTTGTGATACTTGTATTTCTGCCCTATATTAAATCTACTTAGTCTACTGCCCACTCCTTCTCGCACCAGCGTTCTCACTGCCTCGGCCCCTTCTTTCAGTGCTTCATCCACCTGTTACAATATGCCCCACCCAAAGGATTATATTTCAACTAGAACTGGCTTATATATGTTTTACGCCTAATGAAAGCCCAACATAAAGGTAGTTGATGTTCATTCTTACCTGTTTCCGCTCTGTTTCACTGAATTTCTGGAGAAGAAAAGCCTTCATATCCATTGCTCCCGGTGGGTTTCCTATTCCTTCACATGTATGTATGTTTTCAGAGATTCGATGTCTAGTAGTTAGTTTATATTACTGCCCATATGGTTAAAGATATTCATGCAGACTGACCTATGCAAAGTCGTGGAAATTGATGGCAACCATCCAGATGCTCCATTACACTTTTCACCCTATCATTCAAAGAAAACAGTGTTCATACTTCTTAACAACTCACACTGGCAACACCCTAATAATTAATATGCAAAGTGAATACTCCCTATAATATAGGGGTGCAGCAGATTTAATCACACAATTGTTTGGGAAATATCACACTACAGATCTTTTTGTATCGATTTTGTGTTTGCAACAGATTTGCAAAAAATAATAATAATAATAATAATAATAATAATAATAATAATAATAATAATAATAATAATAATAATAATAATAATAATAAAATAAAGAAGATGTTTGCAATGAATAGAAGTGTTCAAGCTTTAACAATTCTTTTCTAAGCAATATCCAAAAATAATACCCGTTATGATGACCATGTCCTCGCTTGGGCTTAAGCCTCAAAACACCATTTGGTAAACTCATCTCGTCATGAACCTAAAAGGAGAGAAAGAACTCCAGCAAATTTATAAAATGCAATGCAGAAATTCATTTATAGCAATATTTAATTATCTTGATTGAAAACCTCCACACTCCAAACAATCAATTTGACAATATGGAAAAAACTTGTCAGTCATACCAGTAGGATATGTCGCAAGGGTACTTGATAATATGCAGCAAGTTGTCCAACCTTGTCAAATAGAAAATACAAAATAATATTTATACCAAATGCATTAAAAAAAAATTATACAATCTAATGACACCAACTGAGGGCATAAAACTTAAATTTTCATACATAAACACCAGATGGATGGGAAAAACAGAATGAAACAAATAAAATGTATTTAATCTGTAAATATGCATGTAATCTATATATGAGGTGCCAACTGCTTGAATGCTGCAACCTAAGAGGGAAAATATGTGTTTAGGACTGTAGTGGTGCTAGAAGCTGTTAAGCAAGAAGTTCACATCCATAAATCACATCAATTTAAGAAGGAAAATATGTACATGGAAGAACAGTAATTGTGCTAGAAGCTATGGAGCAAGAAGTTAACATCCATGAATCGCTCAGTTTAAACAGACCATGAGGTCATTATTCTAAAATAATATGATTTGATAGTTCTTCTTTGTAAAATACTACTAGAAAACAAATATACCATGGAGTTTAATTTATAAAATGGATGGCTGCTGAGAACAAACCGATTCTCCACTGAAATTCATATAAGTCTGAGGCTTTGCTAATACCACTGGCACCTCTCCAATAGAACCTGTACTAATTGCACAAAAAAACTAAATAAATAAACCTTCAATGCTCATACAACAACTAGGGCATGAAGTAATTAATTAAGGGGGGAAGGCAACTAAATAATCACCTATTCCAATCAATGCTTTTGACTGTATTGTGTTCAACAAAATGCCCTCTTCTTGAGAAATCTGATCAATCATTTCAAAACCAACCTACTACCAAAGCCACATCAGTTTAACATGAATTTATATGACTTTCAAGAAATGTTTAAAAAATGCTACCAAAATTGAAGAAAATGGAACTATACAAACTAGATTATCACATGGTGAATGCATTTACATTGTGCCGCGTTCCATGGTACTTGTTTCCAGGGTTCCCCAGTCCTGCGACCAACCATGGAGTATACTCAACTTTGGCTCCATTAGGCTCTGGCAGTGAAGCTGACGCTCTAATCCTCACAGGAGCTAAATGTCTTGGATGAGAACAGGGGCATCTTGGATAGGGTACCATACAACTTTTAGCAGGAGATAAAGAATACAACATTGACCTAAAATTCAACAAAAGTAAAGAATAAACAAAAATATCAGTATTTATCAAAATGTCTAGTTTAAACACAAACATCTATTCACCCCACTCAACATAGCCAAGAGAAAGATGTTTTACGAAATTGAATGGGAATTAAATTTAATAGCTTTACAAATCTATAACTAGGAGTATATGAACCCTTAATATCAGTTCCAAAAAGCCTTTCTTAAAACAAGCCAGACAATAATAACTATCATGTTAAGAGAAGTGAGAAATTAAGAGAAACAAAACCTTCTCTTTGCTTTCTTTAAACAATGCCTATTACACCAACTGAATCAGTGTCAAAGCAGTAAATAAATTATATTATATTAAGTAACAAATTTTGTATGTGAAATCATACTCATATACTTATATATGGATTCAGCAGGTAACTGTTCTACCACTCCACAATCACAACCTGAATCTCATATTCATATATATATTTGCATTGTCTAACTACTGAAAAATGGAAATAAGAACTATTACGGAATATAATTTAGTGACCGAAAATGTTAATAATTTTTCTCCAAACATGACCGTGAAGCCATTCTCATTCTCATTTGAAATAACAAAAATTTACAATATAACAGAAAAACTTACATGAAAGTCGAGGGCGAGCAAGGACGACAAGGCAGGCGGTCGTCTCTGAAGCCTCTTATCTCTCTGCCTGTCACCGACGAGTGATGAAGAATTGAGCGAGTCGGGCGGGAGTGAGAGCGGAAGGCGTGACGGAGTAAGGAAGACCAGACCAATTGCCTATTGCCTATTGCCTATTCCTATTCCTATTTCCTAACAGTGTAGCTGTGTAGACTGTAGTGTAAGGAATAAGGATAGACCCCCGTATCTACGTCCTCTTGCCCTTAAAAAGAAAAAAATTGTAATTTATACTCTCACAAGTACATCAATTATTAATATTACTCCTAGACTATTAGTAGTATAAGTGTTGTCTTTCAATTTTCAAAGCCTGATATATATATTGCCCATTCCCTAATAGAAAGAGGGAGAAACATTATTGTTGGTGGGAGGAGAACAAATGAAAAATAAAAAAACATGATCTTCGAACAGGGAAATCAACGAATGACCACATTTATACCACTAATAATTCAAGAGAGGGACAATATATGTCACATTTTAAAAATTAATGGATAACATTTACAACACTAATAATTCAGAAGTGACATTAATAATTAACATATTTGTGAGAAATATAAATTACAATTTTTTCAAAATTAAATTAAAAATAACATTACTCAAATCTCGTTAACTGAAGAAAATTATATTTTTGTTATTCAAGTATTTATATGAGATCATGATTCTTGAAATGACCAATTGTGTATTATTGACCTTTTAATTTTCCTAGATGTCTTTTCAAAAAAAAAATTCCTAGATGTCAGTTTTGATTTTTTTTAAATATATCTTAACTATAATATAGTCATATGGTTTGGTAAACAATTATTGTTACAATTATTATTTTGGTGAGCAATTATTGTTACAATTATTATCTCTATCCTTATTATTATTGTATTCTTTAATTTTTTGGATCTTCTATATTATTATTTAGAAAATGGTGATGATGATTAATAGTCATTTATATTTATAAATAATTGTTTGGTCTTTAAAGGTCAATTGTATGTTGTTACATCTAGAGTTAGAAATCTCAAAGGTCTAAAAATTTTGATCCGTGGTGACTCTGAAAATTGTAATTCAATTACTATTGTAGTTTACTAAGTTCTTAAAAATTTGTAATATTAAATACTATGTACGGAGTATTAAATTTTTAATATAGTTTAAGATTTGTAGTAATCACACACCTATTTTCAAAAAAAAAAAAAGTAGTAATCACACACCTTAAATATCAATTCTTATTTTAATTGTAAATATATTTATGTTCATAATTTTATCATAACAATTCACACATAATTATTAAATAACAAAATTTTTATATATGAATAAACCTCATATAGGGTATATTTTTATAACATATTTTCTGTATATCGCACGGGACAAATACTAGTATATATATAATATGATAGTTTAAACTTTTGGTTCCACAATCTCTTATGTGACTAATGTTAACAATCATTGTTATCCAAAGATCAAAATTACCAGCCTTTCTATAAATACATTGATAACAATTACTATTTTTTCATCATTTTAAAAAATTCAAGCGGCATAGTTGTAGCTCTCCTAAATGAAAAATTACAGATTTAAATCTCAGTAGGACATTGACTCTTTGTGCTTTAGTAAGTTAAGAAAGTATGTATGGACATATACTACATTACAACAGAGTTAGTAGTACTAAAAAAAAAAAAATAGTAAATCAGCTATCAACCAAATCATTCTAAGTTACATCAAGAATTGTCCCATAAGAAAAAATGTATAGGATTTACTTATCAAAAGCTACTACTAGCACAACAACAACAACAGCAAACATCTTATTTCCAGGGTAACAACCAACAGGTGCACTATTACAGAATTCTATCTATTTAGTATTTACACAAAATCTTTTAACAGAGTTAGCTGGATGGCTTTGCAGTTTGCACCAAGTATTTTGGAAAGCTCCTTTATCAGAGGCTTCTCTTTATAGTCTTCTCCCCTTTCCAAATGCCATTTCTTCGACGTGTCTTCCGCCTGAAACACAGCTCAGTTTTAGTTTCACAGCAAGCTGAATGGTTAAGATTATGCATTTCACAATGATTTCGGCCAAAACTGTTCTTATTTGGCTTACCCAAGTTCTGAAGGGACTCAGTTGCTCCTTGACTGCTTCTAATCTTGGATGAATAATGTCTTTTCCTTTGGTCCGTATATCATCAGCCTGTTCAAAGAACACGATGATATATCACTCAAGAATTACAACGGGGCATTGCAAAGTGATCCATAAATAAGTAGGTCCATGAAATCCCCCGGTTAGACCTTCCCAGTTCCCACCGAAACGAAAGGTCTCTCAACTAGGCTATAGTGCACATGGGTCAAACCACACTAAAAGATTGAATTCAATCAATTAGCTAAATGACCCTATAAACCCATATATTCTCTCTTATTTTTTCAATGTGGGACTCTTAACATATTTAAACTATCACAACTCGGACTCTGAATGGCTTTTAACTTGTTTCACATTTTCCATGTCTCGGCAAAATGCTACCAAAGATGAAAAGTGTGTTTTGGGAATCATAATGCAAGCAATATATTGTCCATATGTCATGCTTAACAAATTGAGAGAAAATATTGCCACTTCTGATTTTACCTTCTACTTCCCTCGCATGTACCACTAGTTACATCACTATATTTTTACTGTTTTACTGATACCCAAGACAACATCTATGAGGATTTCGGGTAGGTGAGAATGTGAAATGGATTCTATGCTTACATTGTGCAGTTCCAGCTTTGAGGCTGCCAATCCAAATGCCAAGGTGGCACCACCGAATACAATAGCAGTAGCACCAGCAAACGCCTTGGCAACTACATAGAACAACAAAATTAATTTTACACCAAATGACAGTAATTAGGAATTACGTTGGTTCACAGAATAGAAAGCAAATTATAGTTTCGCAATAATAGTGGTAGTAACTTTTTTTTTTTTTTTTTTTGGATCACTAGGAGGGGATAAGGGTAACCCAGACTTAGTTTCGTCTCTCAAAGATTCTTCTTAGTCGAGGGATCCCCGACTTGTCATTCTCAATAGCTTGTCCCAAATCAAGCGTAGGCTCATTCCATTCCAGCCATTTCATTGGCAGAGACACCGCTAAATATTAAATATAATGTGTATTTACCAATGTCAATTATAGCTTAGGGACATGAAGTGAGCAGGACCAACAAATAGGGACGAATGCTAAAATTACACTTAGGGACGAAGAGTGCAAGTTCCCCTTATATAAATAAAGAGTTTCAGTAAGTCCTATATTCATTAACTACAAGTCCATATAAGACAAGTAAGCAACAATCATGCATCAATGAGAATATTAGCAAACCATATTTATTATTATTAAAAAAAAAAAAAAAGGATTAACAGGGGTATATCTGTCACGTCGCAACTCATTTGCAGTTGAGGCTTGCAATGAGTTCTCGGAATAAGGCATCTGCCATCTAGAAAAATACATAGAAAGAATTTATCTATAAATGAAGATAAAGACAAAATCTGGAGTTGTTTTTAAGAGAAATGCTTTCTAAACATATGAGAAATAATAGCATTCAATTTCAATTATTAAAGATATAGCAGACTAGTGGCAATATATCATATATCCACCCCTCCTAAACAAGCTAAGACTTAAAGAGGATTATGCTGTTTCTGAGATTCATCTGAACTAAAATTCAAGGAACAAAAGTTGTGTTTTCAAATTTTGAAGGAAATTGAAGAGAAAAAGAAAAGAAAAAAACCTTTTAGGTCCAAAGGTGACTTGGGGGAGAGAAACATAAGCTTTGAGAGGGCACAGAAGAAGCGGAATTGGGGTCAGTTCTGATCACCCATTTGGTAGCTGCGGTGAGAGACGAATCGGAAGCGGTTGTTGCAGACTTGGGAGATTGGAAGATCTCGGGCGGCAGTGAATGTCTTAAAACCTCCGGCAGAACATCGGCGGCGGTCGGATTCTTCGCTCCGGGCGATAGAATTAGCGGCGGTGGGCGATGAAGAAGGAAATTTCTTCTGGGCGAGACGAGTGACGGCGTGTTTGGATTCTTGCAAGAAATACGCGCCCTCTGTTGCTGCTAATCTTCCCGCAAGAAAGCTCATTTTCACACACACTCTCTCTCTTCCTATAATTTCTTCAGTTTATCTGTTTTGACTGCTGCGCTCTTCAAATTCATATATGACGGGTTTATATATAGCTCTGAGGGGAGAAATGAGAACTGAGAAATCCTTCTGTTTTTATTTTTCCAACTTTGTGATTATATTTTAAACTGCATACGCTGAATTCAGCACTTACGTGTATCAATTAAGTAATAACCATTTCACCGTCAAACTTTAAAAATATAAATTACTTGATTTCACGGACATACAAATTATCATTATTATTAAAAAAGTCGATGTAATAAGATAAAAGTATTTATAAAATAATATCACATCAAATAATGATTATAATTATTGTCTATTGTTCTTTTTATTAAATCAATCAAAACGTGTCACGTTACCATGAAATAAAAAATTAAAAAGAAATTCAATATTAAAGAAACTTTGTTTTTGTTTTTAATGATATAATGTTTGTTACTTGTTAGTGATCTCTCGCAATATATATATATATATATATATATATATATATATATATATATATATATATATATATATATAATGTGTCCGGCTAGTGCTATATGTGCATGGTTTCCTTTGGAGGAAATCAAAATACACTATCTTCTTTTTTCTCCATCCTCCCCTATATATTGGACCCACACAAAAATCAAGAAAGAGGAAATGGGAAGAAGGGGGACAAAAAAAAATGTCAAAAATAAATAAATAATAATAATAAAACAAGTCTTTAAACGCGCCCAGCGGACTGATTGGGCACTTGTTTGCCTTGCACTCGGCCAAGCGGAGAAACAAGGAAAATCTAGTGACCCACTGACCCACAATTGAGACCAAAAATCAAGTTCTCCCGCAAAGAGTTTTTTCTCTCTCTTTCTTCTCTCTTTTTCTTCTCTCACGAAATAAACTTAAAAAATTGTGTAAAAACTTTTTTCTCTTTCTTCTCTCTTTTTCTTCTCTCACGAAATAAACTTAAAAAATTGTGTAAAAACTTTTTTCTACTACATAGACTCACAAATCATACTCCCTAAATTTTACTCTCGGATACTGATTGTCTACTTTCAATACAAGTGTCTACATCAAAATTTTATGTGCGAGTAAAAAATTAGAATCCATGTAGTATTTCCCTTTTAAAATGTGCTGTGATGCTCGATTATGTAGTTTACAAGAAAAGAACAGTCAGTCAGAAGTCAGAACCACAAAATCCTTGATGCCCAAGTTTGCTTAGTCAACCACTCTATTCATAGCCTCACTAATAATAATAATAATATTATTATAATAATAATAATAGAAAAAAATCATGTATGTGATGAATTAAATGAAATCAGTTTGCCTAGACTCAGAATATGAACAAAAATAAACTGCTATTTATTGCCATCTCATTTTAAAGATTTTGGTGCAGGAAAAAAAAAATGCAATTCGTATTGCTGAGTACACAGTACATCCATTATTTTGACAAAATTCTCAGGGAAAATTTCAGCAAACTTCCTCTCAAAAAAGTAGTTCAAAAGAAATCTCAGGAACTCCAAATTCCTGCTCTAACCAATAGAGATATATATGGAGAGCCTCAGTTGGGTTAAAAGCATGAAGTAGAACTAGTACAAATAAGATAATATTGCAGTAGAGCACAACTTGTGTGATCTTTCTTTGTCATGTGAACCTACTACAATCCCAGATCCTTCTCAATCTTTTGGATTTGGTTAAGGAATATCCATGTCATCTGCAAAAGCACATGTATCGTTTAGAGTAAGAGAATAATAAAAGTGAAATATGCCTGGCTAGAGAACTGAGAGTTACATACCATGACGTGGGGAGCAATCCTAACACAATACACTGGAAATCCGGTGTAAAATTTCAAAGGCCCTCCTGCCTTCAATGTTTTCATGGCGCAGTCAAAAGAACCAGTATATGGGTATTTTCCTTGAGCATCTGGTTGCATCTTCTGTATTTGTGTTTTGACAAAGTCAAATGGTAAACTGCAAGCAGCAGCAAAGAACCCAGAAACACTACTGGCACCTGGAAGGAAGAAAAAATAGGATTTTTAGTGGCAGAAAACCACAAATCAGGCTTGTAAAGAAATGAAACTGGCAGCACATATTTCTGAGAGGGAGTGTATTTCTTTCTTGTTAATACACAGAATTCATAAAGTGGAATATGCAATGTGACTGCAAATTGGTACATGCATTTGTCCTCCATGCACCACCACCAACACAAGGTCCTTATCCTACATTCCTCAAACCAGACATCAGCACAATGTAACATGTGATTTATTTGTATCTCACCTACGACAGTAGCAGCCTCACCCATACCAAGGGAATCCCTAAAGAACTCCACACTTTGATCATAAGAGGCAAGCATCCCCATGTTCAGTGCCATTGCTCTCACCACAGTTGGCCCAGCACCCTTCCAGAGGGCTAAAACTCCTTCATCAGCAACAATGCGAGAAAGTGCATTAAAGGCATTTGTGTAGTTACGCCGTTGGGCAGCAGGTAAGGTGGCATCAGCCTGCATACGAATGAGTGATAAATCAGCTGGACTGCCAACACATGCTCCAATTGCACCAGCAGTCAGCCCACACAAAGCCTTCTGATACAAAGGTAGGGGCTTCCCATCATTTGCTTCAATAGCCTTGTTCGTCAAAATTCTATTATGAAAAAGTCACCAAATAGGCAAAAGTCCAATTCATTAAAATCTTCAACTTTTTAAGGTGTATTGATTAAACCAGTCAAAACAAACAAATAAAATCATATATTATGTCATAACAAAAAAAAAAAATTAATAATACAAGCCACCCGCTGACATATATCATATATCATGTGCATACATACAGAAGAGATAAAAGTGAAAAATCGCACACCAATAAATTTATTGCCCTTGCACCCCAATCATCAAAGGATATCCTTATTATATGTTCAATTCAATTACTATTAGCATGTTTATCACTAACACTAATTAATTGTAAATATTTTACTTATTTACTTATTAAAATAAAAATTTAAAAATTAAAAAAAAAAAAAAAAACATTGACACTACAACATCCCCAAGTTGCTGAAAGAAAAACTATGTTACCAAATACTGATTCTTGAACGTAAAAGAAATAAAGAACTGAAAATTAATGCAAATATAAAGAACTAATGGATATTAGGTGTAACAGTACCATCAAAGTTAATACCAGCAAATATCTCTATTAATTCAATTTGGGATACAGAAAGGTCTAGTTAAAAAACTCAGACATCTCAAAATCATGCTTTGCTGTTTCAGTCCTTGGAATAGGTTATTGACTAGGGTGAAAATAAAGTTTCCAACTAAATATGCCATTTCAAAGGAATAAAAGAAGCATGAATGCATGATCATGAAATGCTTGGGTGACACCACTATACTATTAACTGGAAGTCCATAAAAGATAAGAAGAAAATGGCATCTTCTCTAAGTGCAATTAGACAACAGAGGCCTTTCATTTAGAAAGGCAGCTCTAATGCTTCTAATACCTCTCCTGCTGCTTCTATGCTTCAAATCTCATACTAAAAAGTTCCCAAATTTACATACTACAACCAAAGATAACATTCTCTCAAGTTTCAACCATCTTAATGCATCACCAGCAGGTTGAACAAATTTCACCACTAATAAGCTCTTATTTAGCAAATGAAGGCATGGAATTAGTAAACATGCGTATTAAATATGCATATAAATCACCTGAATGATCCCAGTCTAGCAGTTGTATATGTAGCTTGTCTAAGCAGCCCCGCAGACAAACCCTGCTCCATATGATAATGGTTGTTAGAAGGAGGTAAGATGCTCTTATAGCGCAAAATCTCATATATAACAGTAAAAGTAAGAAGGGTTTTACAGTTGCACACCCAAAGTTTTTGAAGACACAATGAGCATGCCTCTATTGCTTTTAGCACAAAGCTTAAAGCAATGCAATTGCTTTCTCACACTAAAGTGAACCAAGAGGGTAAAGAGAGAATATTTGTCATCACACTAAAACAGTGACTACTTCCATTTCAATCCATGTTCACAGCTAAGAGGATAAATAGAATACCATGCATGGAATGCTTCAACAAGCTGCGGTGGTAAGAATGACATCATGTATTTATGTAAACCCTGTATTAAAAAAGTGACAAGCCTATTTTGTACTTAATCAAGCTTACAGTAATGCAAATTGTTTTGCAAAACCATAAGAGAACAGGTAGCATGTCAATATGAAACTGCAAACTGAAAAGCAGATCTCAATTCACATTGGCCAAAATCATTCTCAATAGGACCTAAGATATGGAAGATCACTTCTAACATGAATTCAAATTCATAGTTTCATTACTTTCAGTTTCTTCTCATGTTTATTCACCTGTCGTAGAATTTTTAACATGTTTTTGGAGGTGCAGGTTGCATGAATGCCAACTCTATTACTTTCAAAATGACAACGGTAATGCTTGATATTTGTAGACCACAGCTTGAGAGTTCCAATTAAACATACGTATTCACATCAATGAAGTGTTCTTGTTTCTCTAGAAGCTTTTAGTTTGTTCAGTTCCTGCATTTAATTCATATTTCATATGGATTTTGTACAAAAAGAAAGGGAGAATTTTAAAGCAGATTAATGCAGCAAACCGGAGTAATGAGTGAGAGAGAGAGAGAGAGAGAGAAACAAATGTGTAGTAGGAGAAATAACAGATGAAAAATCCAAGGAATAATAGGGAAGAGGAAGCAAAGCAAGGGAGGAGGAGAAGAAAAGAAGAGAGAAGGAAGAAGCCAAAAGATTTGAGAAGAAAAGTGAAGAAGAAGAAGAAGAAGAAGACAAAGAAAAAAAAAAAAAAAAAAGGATAAGACATCTAAGAAAGTTCAGAAAGGAGGGGAATAAGACACACATGAACATCAAGAAGGAGAAGAAGACATGCAAATGGCTGGAAGCTGTGTAGAGAAGAAAAAGACAAAGAGGGAGCATTCTTTAGCAGTAAGAGTGGCCTAACTTTTTTGTTTTTTTTCTTTGGACCATTGACTTGCCTGTTACCAACTGGCTTCATCCCTTCAGGGAAAAATCACATAAAACTGATTTTGTAAATTTCCTTGCTTTGTTGAAATGAAGCAACATCACTTGGGGAAGCAATCACTTTTAACAAGTCAGTCCACTCCATCACCAACCACATACCCAACCCCCCTCAAAAAAAAAAAATCAAGTCCTAAGGATTGTGCAATGACAAGCTAACATACAGGAGGAAATTGGAATGTATGATGCAATAGTTTAGGGTGGACTAGCAAGTTTCCTTGTCCCATTATATCAATATTAGACATCTAAAACCAGAACATTACAAAAGCATTCAATTCAGTGCAAGCCTAAAAAACTCCAACCAGTAATTCTCTATTTGTACATAGAGAGATCATGCACAATATTTATGGTTACAGCTGAAAATGGCAGACATAACCAAGATAGTTTGAGAAGAAAAGTAGGACAGTCATGGCTGCCATATACATGGCAACTTGATTTGACTGGTGAGTAACAGAATATTGTGGATCAAAGAAATACTAAAGTGCCTCAGCTCATTAATTAAAAGCATCAAGTGAAGGATAATAACCTTGTAAAAGGCACCAAAACCCTCATTTTTAAGCATGTTCTTGGTCACATCTGCTGCTGATCCCTGGCCCAGTTGTATTCTCACCTGCAATCGTGAAACAGAAAATTCAGATCCATTAAAAGACATGGACCAGTACGGAGCAAACATAACTCCACAAAAACGAATTAAATCAGCAATTTTACAACGAGATCCATGCTCGTGTATAAGTCAATACTAGTCCTAACATTCAACATAAATAAGAAACAATTCCAGAAATAAGAAACAAATTTGATACAAAACTAAAGTAAGGAATGCAAAGAAAGAGTTGGTCGATCTGACAAGTGACAACCAAACACCTATCAAACAGATCAATCGCCAAAAAAATAATGAAGAACAGGAAACCGATCTGTAGAAATGAACATGTATACACGAATGTATGCATGTCTACACATCGATTAAGCAATAAAAGTACCTTGATCATGTCAATAGGCTGGATGACGCATGTGGCGAGCATACCGGAGCAGCCTCCATTGACGAAAGGCTTGACGGTGGACCAGATGCCGGCGGCGGGCTTAGGCTTCTGATCTCCCATTTTCGTCTGATTTCTGAGCTTCAGATAACGAGGTAGGAAGAATGGGGTTTGGAGGGTTGGAAGGAAGGAAAGGTTTGGTTTAATTGGTTATATATACACACACACCCAGCACTCAGCACTCAGCACTCAGCACTCAGCACTGGCAGGCAGCATCGCTTCCGCTTGGTTATGGTTATATATAATTGGAACTTCCAACATTTAGGGCGCGTTTGGTTCATCAACTCGCCTTTTCAAATTTTAACATTCATAAACAACATTTTACATTTACCATCTTCATTTTTTTTAAACTCATTTATAAAATTTATTTGTGATCAAAATGTATGAGCGTCTCAAGACTCAAGAGGATTACTAATTCATAAAATTACACAATATTTAACATTTTTTTAAAATAAGATTTGTATCAATATCACCAAAATAAATTATAAATTGTTTCAAAATGTTCCACATAACATTGTAACGTTCACATAACCAAAATAAATTATAAATTGCTCCTTGTTCGAATACTGGTCGGGAGGTGTGGGACTCAAATATTCATCATTATATTCGTGATTTGATTTCGTAATAATAATTCACTTTGATGGTTGTTTTCAAAAAAAAATAATTAATATAAAATTTAACATGAACTTTAATCAATTAATTAGAATCACGCATTGGACATGCATTTTGATGAAACGGTACACTTAATTTACAATATATATTCAATAGATTAGAAACTATACCTATTATCTTAAAAAAAAAAAAGAGGATTTGATTTTGTTTTTGAATGTGCATTGCGCCAATACACTAAAATTACAGTGAAGCACACCATGAGACTAGATAAAATCAATAATTCATTTCTAGCGGAAGTGGCAACAAGAGGAAGCATGGACTTCACGCCAATTAATAAGGTTTTGTATTGTAATGATATTACATTTTCAGTAATTTAAATTCACAACAATCGAATATTCCCTAAAAAATAATCTACCATTTCGTGAACCAAACGACCCTAATGCAATATCAGTGTTGCTATACACCAACATAGAATCACATTTCATGATTTCAATGGCCACATTAAAAGTAAAATCGATATTGATCATAGCTTCTTTTATAAACACTAACCATTTTTAGCTTAATTATACATTTTCAATTACAAATGCTAGAAAAATATATAAGTTTTTAATCCCTCAATAATTCACTACTAATTCTCTTAGTCAATAATAATATCATTACAATACATCCCTAACTTTTCAAATAAGTTATAATTTTAATTCAAAAGCAATTACTTAAATCATAACCAAAATGCCACTATAAGTTCTATAACGTAAAGTCTAGTCTTGTAAGTTTTGGGATTAAAGATAGGAGATTCAAATGCACGCACGATTCATGGCATAATTTAATAGTAAATTATATTCATTTCCAAACATTTTGGCCACGTTTGAGCCAGCAGCCATGCCACCACCAAAGTCAAGTTGTCACCAAATTGCACAAAAACAGTACTTTCGGTCCTGTAATTAATTTTGGTTACTGGGTCTTGAAAGGGGTCAATCTCCAGTCTCTCAGATGAGTTTTAACGCTAGCTAAGTAGCTAATGTAATTGAGCTCAACACAAATGACTACCAAAACTGAAGGAAAACAAAACTAGGTACTTAGGTATAATTTTGAATATCAAAATTTTACTTCTACAAATAGAACAATCACATTAAGAGCACTCAACTCGCTGCCGTTTCGCAGAAATAACATCATCGCTCTCTTGATTAACACCAGCTAACTCTTTGTTTTCGATATCGAAAGTCCAGCCAGGAAAATCGGACTCTGAGAACAAAGAGGTTGGTGGTACTTTGTAGAATGCCAGGGGGACTTGTTTAACCCTTCTCCTAATCTGTGGGAAAAACAGTTTAAGTTGAAATGCTTAAATGCAGCAAATTAGAAGGAAAAGATTAGCTCCATTCCTTAATCCAACTTATTATTAATAATAAAGATTTAACTGAACTTTGAATTTGAGGTCGCATTCTAGGTAAAGGCAGAAAGAACTATACCTCATCACCAAAAATTGTTGCATAAGAACCAGAACTGAAATCTTTTACTGCTATTTCAGTGGTTTTTGCTCTGACGGTTAAATCATTTTCAAGCGATAAAACAAATCTGGAAGCACATGAAAGCAGCAAAAGGAAAAAGGAACTTAAACCAGAGGAGAATAAACTGATAATGTGCACTTTATAGGGCGTCATGGATATAGATATATACCTTGAAACAGGAGGACAGTAGTGATGACGAAGAGTATCAATCTCCCAAAGAGAGCTACCTGCTCCGGCAGTTTTAACAAAAAACAAAACATCATTTTCACAAATAAGTAATGTTTTTTCAAGTAAGGTCTAAAGAAGAAACCAAATTTTTAATGCAAAAATTGCATTTTTGCTCATGAACTCCCAACAAATTTAGATAAAGATAATAGCTCCTCAAAAAGCAAAAAAGAATTAGCCCTAAACAACAAATATTTGGTTACACATGAAATGGTCCATCACTAACAATCAGAATGGACTAAATAACAATAAAACAGACCATGCATATGGTTTAGAGGCAATCATACTCTCGATGGATCTTTTAAAATGTCTTCTCAAATCACATAAAGAAGGTTTTAAAAATCAGGGAATTGAGCTGAAGCAGGAGAAGCTTACTCATGGCATTAGCCCTCAAAGGATCCCTCTCTTCCTCATCAAAAGGATCAATGCCCAATCCATTAACAGAGATTTCTCTGCTAGCATCAGCAGTAACATCAGTCTCTCTCTCTGCTTCTGAATTTTCTTTAGTTGTCTCACCAGTATCGTCCTGCAAAAGAATATTGTCACTTTAGTAACATCTGTATGGTTAATGGTTACGTAATTGGTGATTGTATTCAAAGGCTACAACGAACTGGCAACACTACATAGTAGGACAGTGTCCACACCTGATGTACTAAGCAGTTTATTGATGGATGTCTCCTTAAAAGGTTGTGGATTAAAGCAGTAATAACAAGAGATCCTGAGGGAGGAACTGAAAGTGAAAGCCTGCTCAATTTTTTGCAGAAAGCAGCAGCCAAATATGCAGGAAGAAGTGGTGATTTCAGGCAAGAATCAAGAAGCTGCAAGTCGAACTCTCAGGTCAGAATCCAAAAATAATAATTTTCGCCCCCTATATAAATGTTTGCCAAGTGTAAATGAGAAATACCAAAAATTCAGAAAGCAATTTTATCTTTCTATATAAAAAGATTAAATAGATGGGTGCAGATTTAACCTTTTTCAATAAAGAACAAGTAAAAAGTTATAGATGTGCCTATTTTCATCTAAGAAGTGAACAATCAACATCAAACTTTCAGTAATAAATGGAAAAACAAGGAATTTGCTATAACCTCAAAGAATTTTGCCCGATGTTTTGCCATAAAAATAGAAGGCTCTAGAAGAGCATATAGCTTTTCATAGAAGTTTGGATACTCTATACCATGTTGAGTCATGAGGATAAACAAGCTACTAAGAGCCATAACACTGACAACCCCACCAATATCATACGATCGTGTCAAGAAATCACTGCACGTATAAAGGTCAAGGAAAAAAAATACTTGTCATTCTGTCAACAATGCAAAAAATTCAAATTACGACATTAGTATATTGATTACCACAACATGATGGGCTTTGACAAGGGATGACTGCCTGATGAAGGCTAACCAGAACCTGATTACCAAACCAACAAAAATGTTAAGAACAAAAAATCAACACAATGTCTTCATGTAACTGATCATATAGTATGTGAATGTCCAACTTAAAAAGAAAAATGGGGACCATCTATCAATTCTAGACAAGATTCCTGACCATTTATATTTATGACTGGGAATTCAATTATTTGAAGTTGAAAACAAGTTTCAGAACAATCAGAGGGGATGTATATAGATCCTTTCTAACAAGGAGCATTTCTTTAACCCAAATCATTAGAGCTGAGAATGGATAGGTATTACACCACACTGATTGATAATGACAGAACCAAGATGAAAAGCAGGTGAATATTTGATACAATTTTGAAAATAACCTACTTTAACTTCAGTCTAGTAAGAGGTTTAAAAGAACAAATTTAAAAATTCAGACTCTATGTACAAAGAGAAATAACAATCCAAGTATGTAGCAAAGAACTGTCAGTTTTACCTCTTTGTACACATCAAGTGGGAGTGGTATTTTTAGAAATGATATCCATGCTTTTGTAAACTTCAGCTTCATCTTTTTAGCAACTTTCAGAGAAGGCAAAACCTGAAGGCAGGAAAATAGTTAACATCCTATATTTATTTATTTTTAAAAAAGCACAATAAATATTGATAAAGTAGGAAAAATAGCTGAATACGAATTTTACTTTATCACTAGAACTTTCAACTTTGCCCATCTTGCTTTCTGCTTTTGAATCCAAAGCATTTTCCCTGTTATTGTTTTTCCCAACAAAAATACCTGAATGGCAACAAACACAATTAGCAAAAAACAGTTCTACATGAGTTCCATTGAAATTTGAAATTCACATTGCATAATTAATTTTTATTCAAGATTATCAGTGAAATTACCTAGACCATTCCACATCTCATATTTTGACATTTGATCAAGACCATCTGGTGGTGGGATATGTGATAGCATATAATATATCTTCTGAACTGAAAGCTCCACACTTCAAAATAGAGGAAGAAGTTGAACAAGGTGTCACATGATAACTTATTTTGATAGGCCTCAACAAAATGAGAATCAACTCATAGTATTTAATGCTCACAAAGAGTCAAAAGACTATTAATCTTTTCACCATTTGCCTCGAAAAGCTATAATTATGTAATTAAAAAGGAAAACAAGTGAATCAAATGGAATACTCCAAACTGTTACGAGTACTGCAGCAACATCAGTTGTGAAATTAACGGAGCAGGAATTTAAAAATGCTCTTCAACAGATCAATCTGATACAAATCAGGCAGGAAAGGAAAGTTATCAAATCATTCTAGTGATAGAATTCAAGGAAGCATAGAATAAGGGATTGACTGATTTTATGGAGAGTGTAATTAGGAATTGAATAATTATGTAATCAATAATTGATGCTCCTACCTTATTTTACATATGGTAATAGATTATAAATAGGGACTATCTCTTAGAAGAGGGGGCATCCAGTAGAATTGGAACAATTAGCTCTAAGTAGCTGTGGGCAAGAATTTATTATTGTTGGAGGGATATTCTTTGAATTCCCTTGTTTTTCTTTCCTTTGGTTTTACTTTGGATATCATAATCCCCTAGATTTCTTGATCCTGTCTCTTTACTCTTATCAATTGGTCCGACCTGCCGGATAACATGACACAATTGGACTCAAGAGTTGACGCATTAGAGAAGAGTCAGGGAACAGGACACGCTGAATTGTATCAAGGACTCACCAAGTTGGAGGAATCTGTCGCTAAACTAACCAAGGCGGTTACCTTGTGGCTGCAAAGTAATGGGCATGACGTATCCAGTCTTGTCACCAAGCCTGGCTCCAAGATTGAATCCCCAATAGAAAAATCCCTCACCACCAAACCATCTCTCTACCCAGCCACCACAACTGGCCCCCAACTCACTACCATGAGGATTCAAGTTCCTAACTTCAATGGGACTGATCTGAGTGACTACCTTGCTCAAGAAGAGCATTCCTTTGCTATACAACAGACTCGTGAAGAATTCAAGGGCACAACAACCTTTGTTAGTAAGGAAGGATCAACATTCCATGTGTCACAACAACAAACCCCAACACTGAACTTTAAAGTGGATCTCATGGACAAATTCAATAGTGATCTCTCCACCCCTCTGGTTGAACAACCAATTGTTCTTCATCAAGTCAGCACTATGGATGAATTTGCTAATGAATACCAAGCACATGTCTATGTCATCCATTCACCGAAGCAGCAACACTGGTTCAATCTAGATCACGCTCAACATTGTAGGGACAAAACGGCCCAAGCCAAAAGGTGTGACTTAGTGTTTGCTAAGGGTAATAATGTGCTGCTTAAGCTCCAGCCTCATTGCCACTCTACAGTCCAACGTCGTATTAACGCAATGCTAGCTCCATGGTATTATGGGCCTTTTAGAATTTTGCAAAAATTAAGTGCACTCGCTAACAAACGTGTGCTACCACCCACATTTAGAGCACACCATGTTTTTCATGGGTCACAACTCGGGCATGTTAAACAACACCATGCTTTGCACTCCAGCCTTGAGGACAAGGCTGTTTCATTAGCGGTCGGTAATGATACAAATCAGGCAGGAAAGGAAAGTTATCAAATCATTCTAGTGATAGAATTCAAGGAAGCATAGAATAAGGGATTGACTGATTTTATGGAGAGTATAATTAGGAATTGAATAATTATGTAATCAATAATTGATGCTCCTACCTTATTTTACATATGGTAATAGATTATAAATAGGGACTATCTCTTAGAAGAGGGGGCATACAGTAGAATTGGAACAATTAGCTCTAAGTAGCTGTGGGCAAGAATTTATTATTGTTGGAGGGATATTCTTTGAATTCCCTTGTTTTTCTTTCCTTTGGTTTTACTTTGGATATCATAATCTCCTAGATTTCTTGATCCTGTCTCTTTACTCTTATCACAATCATACAGGCTCAAAATCTTACTATAATATCAACAAGACATGTTTAAACGTTGAAGCACTTGACACTCTAACAGTTCTTTCAGGTAAACATGTAAAATATTATATCAGAAAATTATGTTATCAGATGTATGAGTATGAACATAATAAGAATTTTTATCAGCAAAATGCACATATAAGTTACAGCAATCACAACTACATAAAGTGAATAAAAATAGTCTGCATGCTCATCCAAACTAATAACAGGTAAATCAAAGACTTGAGTATTAATAACAGTTTACACCATCATGCTCCATCACTAAGATTTTCCTACTTTATATCAAATTATTAATCAAAGATATTTGCATGAACAACATGATTTCATACTAACCTTTCCCTTGGAGGATTCTCAGAATTGCCAGATGAAATCTTGTTATCATAATCTGGCAGTAACAGAAAGTGAATAAAATAGAAGTAAAAGTAATCAGAATACAAGTACAGTAAACAGAAAAGCAGGAAATGTAAATAACTGCTAGTAAATACCAGTGACGTATTTTGCTTCTAATGTTTGTGAGAGCTTTTCCATGCTGATGTAAGTAAAATAACTGCACAAGATAATAAAAGTTCAATAAGTAGAACATGTCAACAGAAATATGATCTCAAGTTCATACCAAAATATAGCTTTCATTATAAAGAAGATTATTTTGGCCATACAAGCCATCTTAAGGACATGTCAAAATGTAGTGCACTGTTCTAAAAGGTGTGATCAATACCGGATATCAATGTAATTGAAATACTTTTCTGCAAGCAAATGAAGCAAAATATCATCCACTCCCAATGAGGAGGAGTGAACCTGCACAGTAAAATACAGCAATGATTACAAGCTCTAGAAAAACAAGCCCTACATAGTATCTCTCAACAACAATTAACACTTACAATATTATGAAGAAAACGGTGGTATATTGAAGAGTGAAACTTTCCAGCGTTTCCAACCTTAACAAACTCCATTAGTGCATCTAATACAACTTCCTACATCATTTAAGAAAAGAATGGAATTAACACCTCGTAATATTCAGCAAAAACCTAAACAATGTAAATTCAAAATTGAAAAGAAACATGATAATTGAACTGCGGTTACCCTTAGGGCTTGTTCGCACTGGGAAGAGGTGGCGATTTCAATGAGGGATTGAACGAGGTCTTCGAACTTGGAGCGGAGCCAAATACTATAGATAATTTCGGGATCATCTTGGGGGTCAGCAGCTGCAGTGGTCGAAGGGAGGTTGGGGATGAGAGGAGTGAAGAATGCTTGGAGGGAAAGTAGCGCTTCGAGGGCATATTGGGGAGCAGAAGAGGGATTGACGAAGGTGAGGAGGACAGGGAGGTTATTGATGTGTGCTCTAGAAGACAAAAGCTTGTTTCCTAGGGTTTTCAGCTCCGCCAATGTCTTAGCACCTTTCTTCTTGGCCATGGCGGCGTTGTTGGAACTGGTTATGACTCAGATTTTTGAGGTATAAATCTAACTCTAACTCTATAATAAAGCAAGAAGTTTTTGTCAAATATTTTTCCCGCCCAATTAAAACTACGTCGTTTTGGTCAGCTGTAATTGAGATAGAGAAATAGCTGTCACGGCTTTTGGTATCTGATGCTTGAGAATTATATTTTGCATTCATTGCATAGATTAGTTCAGTGCATTAATTAATACAACTGTGATTAATGGTCATTGGATAATGGCCCGTGCCACTAATTTAATGAGACTGTTCATTCCCAAATGTACATTAATAACATACATTTATTACATTATTTTTAAAATATAACAGAAATCAAACGCCTCTGATTAGAGGACGGATTTTTTTTTTTAATATAAGATAAAAGGAAACGAATAGGCACAGCCGCATCATTAAATTAAACCACTGGACTGTTCACTCTCCAATAACAATTATTAATATCCAACACTGATAGCCTTGCAAGCTACTGCCATAATCCTTCAAATCCTTCCTATAAATACATCCTTGCAAGTCATATTAGCCCTCTCCATGGTAGGAGAGCCATAAGAGTGAGGCTGGTCAGAAACTATGAAGTTGCTGAGTTGCGTGGCGGCACAAAAGGCAAAAGCAAGGAATGCCCTTCCATGTGGTAGAGGTAATGTTAATATAAAATTTCTGTAATATTTTTCTTAATCCTTATTAACAATAACATTGTTTTCAAAATATATTTTAAACAAATCAATCTGTTTTGCTATTGTATAAACTACATACATAAAACAAAAGCAAGGAATTCATTTCCAATATCATTTGTTTATTTTTTTTTGTATGTATTCCTGTTTTCTATTTTCCTACACAAAGTTGCAGGTAATTATAGCAACACATTGCAATCTGGATTTTCACAAGTGACATGGAATACAGAGCAGGAAATCAAGTAAACAGATGCAGCATGAGTGGTTTAGTAACTTTATTTAGCTATACTTGAAACAAAAAATGAATACATGTAAATTTTCATCAGGCATTTCTAATGAATTTGAAGTCCTATAAGGCAAGATAATAAAACTTAGTTATGCCATCAAATAGTACAGTTTGACTACTTCAATTGTAGTAATAGGTATTTATTTACACTACTTAGTACTGTAATTGTAGTTAAAAAATTTATTCATAAGATAGTAATTGTTGTGTTAAGAAATCATTTTCAACTATGTTGTTACAAGTTGGAAAAAATCCAGTCTATTGTCCATAGAAAAAAAAAAACTACTAATACTAATTTCATGATAGCAAATAATATTTTTACAAGTAGAAATTAATAAAACACTTAACCAAGGAGTATATATAAATAATATGACAAAAGGTTTCAGTTGCAAGTAAGCAAATCTAAAAGTGATAATGCAGTACAAAGTCACGGATGTATATAAAGGTACAGTTCTGAGCATACCTGATTTTACACCTTTAATCTACTAATTGAAATTATTTAAAAAATGGTAGCTACCATCTTATTTAATCCTGATATGCCCGTTTGCAAACCTGCAAAAAAATGGTGAAAGCAGCATATAGATTATTCAAATATAAGAAATTGCATTTCTATCACTAGCATTGACCTATTAATTTCTGGTATTGGAAAAGTAATTTGCTAAGCAGGAAGAACAATCCATGGATGAACGGAGAAAAGAGAGATATTGGAAGGGGAAATCATAGCCCTAATTCTAAATCTACAAGCATTTTCGAGTAAAAACGTGAACTTTACACAAGATGATCAAACACATCACCTGTTTGATGGTTTGCCTCGCAGGTATGCTGAGAGGGTTTTGAACTCGAAAGCACTGAGGGCAACTGGCGCAAGCCGATGAGTGCAATGGAGGAGAGACGATGAGAACGCTGCGGGAGGAGAAGTGGAGACACCGAGGGACAAGTGGCGGAGACGTCGAGCCAGGAGAAGCAGAGACGCCGAGGGAGAAGAAGCGGAGACGCGGAGCGAAGAGAATCGGAGTCGCGGAGCAAAGAGAAGCGTTGATGCCGTGTCTTCGAATTGCGAGACAGACGATGAGAGAAGTGAGAGGCTGAGACTGTGCGGTGAATGGTGAGGTGGCGGAGAAGAACTGTAGGGTTAAGTTGTGTCTGGACATGTGGATTTAATTTGTTTTTAGAAAAATATGATAATAATTATTATTTTACTTTTAATTTAGATTGATTGATTATTGTTAAGTAATAATATTGTGTTTAAATTATTTTTTGAATGATTTTGAAAGTTCAAATTTATATTTTCTTTAATACAAGTTTAAAGTTATATAAATATATGATAGAATTTAATTATTTGTATATTGCTAGAATACTATTAATTAACTCCATTACAATGCATTATTTGTTCATAAACTATTTTCCCAACTTAATGAAACATTTTTCAAAAAAAAAAATTATTGAAGCAAATTTTGTTTCAATTTTATTCGAATTTATTATTATATATTATTTTGAGGGATGTGCAAGTTTTGGTTAAAATTCAATTAATTGATCAAATCAAAAAATTTCGGTTAACTGTTCTTTATACGAAAAATTTGATTCGATTATTGGTTAAATGATTTTCCAAATTCGGGTTAACAATTAATTCGGTTCAAAATTATCGATTGACCAAGTTAGCTGAACGATTAATTTGCCTAGAGACAGTCTTAGGGTTAGGAGAAAATATTTTATTAATTGTTTTATTGGGTTCGGGTTATGGGCTACATTATTGGGTTATTTTTGGGTCAGATTATTTAGAAGAAAAGAATGAAAGAAATAAAGTTTGACCCAAGAATTTATTATATTAGTATATTTGTTTATTAAATTTATAAAATAACATTGGTGTAATGGGTTGGAGATGGAAATAATTTGATGTAAAAATATACTAAGAATATTCCTTTTATTGGGTTTAGGTTATGGGATACATTCCATTATTTGCAAAGCAATTGATAATATGGGATGAAGGTCCAATGATGCACAAATTTTGCTATGAAGCTTTAGACCTGACAATGAGGGATTTGTTACGCTCCATAAATCTGAATAGTTATGATATGACCTTTGGTGGTAAAACAGTTATTTTTTTTTTACGATTTCAGGCAAATTCTACAAGTAATTCTAAAGGGCACACGTCAAGATATTGTTGGGGCAAACATAAATTCCTCATATCTTTGGAGATCCTGTAAAGTATTTAGGCTAACTAAGAATCTACGCCTAAGTGGTGTACAATCAGAGGTCGAAGCTAAAGAGATTAAAGAGTTTGTAAAATGGATAGCTAATATAGGTGATGGAGTAGTTGGTAATTCAACTGACAGTGAAGCGGATATTACAATTCCAGATCACTTATTGCTCAAGTGTGACGATGATCCTATTGCTGCAATTGTTGATAGCACATTCCCTTTGTTTCGGCGCGGTATAAGTGATCTGTCATATCTTAAGAACAGTGTTATTTTAGCTCCAACATTGGATATGGTAGATAGCTTTAATCAATACATGAATGATCATAAAATTACAAAGTTTATTATTTCAAATTTATTAGGTTTTCAAACTATATATTTTTTCATATAATTATATTATACTGTGTATATATATATATATATATATATATATATATATATATATATATATATATATATATCATACTATATATATAGCCGCGCATCGCGCGGGTGCACCTACTAGTTAGGGTCATACAAATTACAGGATGTTTGCCGCCACATCTGTGTTGTACGAAATTACCATCACCAATTGAGGTTTTATTAGTAGACTTATGTTTTCATAAATTTTAAAGAATGTAATTTATGTCATTCCAGGTTAATTATAAATGTCACTCTTTAATTTAAAATTATATAAATTTTATTTTTGAATTATCTGAATGTGTATATATTATTATTATTATTATTATTATTATTATTATTATTATTATTATTATTATTATTCATCCTCCTTATAAATATTGTTCCGAAATTTTGAATTTTTAAACTAGGATGTGCATTATATACATACATTCAGACAATTCAAGGACAACATTTGTATTATTTAGAATCGGAATGTGGCATTTATAATTAGTCTATATAAGTTACAGTATAAATTACAATTTTTTTTAAATTTAAATAACAAATTTTAAAAATAAAAATATGTTAAACTATATAATATAATCTTATCTTATCTCACTATATAAAAAAGTCACACCTTGGGATGCACAATAGAGCTAAAAATTTCCGTTCAAATATTTTGACTTACAAAATACATTTTTGCTCAATAGAAGAAGATTCTAGACAAATAGTGTATTTATGAATCAGTCTTTTTATATCTCTAAAAAACAATTACGGAGTATTAATTATTAATAAGAAATAATGATTGAATGTTATTTTTAAGGTGACTTTTGAGTTCTTCAAAACATGGTTTGTACGCTCTTTGCATTAGATAGCCATATCTAACGGACGGCTAAGAGGCGTCTTGGTCGCGGGCGGGAGTTCTCAATTGCATCCTCAGATTTTGTAGACCATTTAGAGGTGTCGCCATGAGCCCGAAAGTGATGGTGGCGATCATGGGAGTATTGCCGAGGTCACGGAGGAAGGCGACAAGGCAACGCCGATTCTAACGTTTTGCGCGAAAGAAGATGATGGAGAAAACCTCGAGTTCTTCAGCAATATAGAAGAAGTGATGCTGCTGAGACCGTATCGGGACTGAGGCTAGGGTTTCGTTTGGGGTTGTAGCTGCTGGTCAGAGTGGAGGAGATATTGGGAACGCTTATCCAAGAAGAAATATAGGGACGGACCTTCCGCGGTTGGAGCTCCAGCAATAACATTTTTGTCGGAATTCGAACGATGATTATGAGGAAGCTTAGCTATGCATTGCTATTATATGTGTAGGTTACCGTGATGAGGACTAAGAGGCGTTGTGGTCGTAGGCCAGAGGAAGAAGTCAACAAAACAGCGAAGAGAGATTATATATACTTGATCAAGTTTGTTCTTTTACATTATGAATTTGACTTATTTTTCTTTGTTTTTTTTTTTTTTTTTTTGTTGTCAATTCTTGATTGAACTGCCCAAGGATGTTAAGGAATGTGTTGAGAAGATATCTGAAATGTTATAGACCGATAACAACTCAAACTCATTCACTTTTGGAATGTCTTTTATGTATGGTGTATTAGGCTAGACGTGAAAAAACATTTGAAGGCAATTATGTTATTTTTTTCAGTTTTGAAAATTTGATGTAAATTATTCCTTGAATATTTATTTTTGCTTCACTTGATTTGATGCAAGAAAGCCCTGTAGGTAAAATGAAAAGTTTTAAGCCTTCATTGCTGTATGCATAACCGCTTTATCAAGTTGTCTATGTTTTGCACTTCATAATATGCAATTTATATCAACTATTTATGGGTTGTCTGCTATTGACTACTTGAAATTAAACTAAATGACAATGGATGATGATTGGTATGTGTCTTACCTTACCTTCCCTTCTAGATTGTTTCAATCTGTGTGGTTATATAGTATGTAATTCTTGATTACCGCTGTAATTTGAATAACATTTTTATAGCTGGCAAATGCAAATCTAAAGCTTCTTACACCATAATTTCATTGCATAATGAATTCCTCTATACTACCACCAGTAACCTAATTGCACATGACACGACAATTTATATCGTGCACCAGGACACACATTGCATTGTGTGCCCTGGTGCAAAACGACATCGTTGTGTACTTCTTTTTTTTTTTTTTTAGAAATTCCGCTTTCCGTGTCGACTATTAACTTCTTAAAAAAATCTCATGTTTCGAAAATGTACATAATTATATAATAGAATGTACATAATTGTATAACATAACGCACATAATTATATAACAAAATACACATACTCTTTTTTTGAAAAGATAATACACATAATCTAACATAATACATAATACACATAAACTCTTACCATAATACATAAAATGTTAACTCTTAAAGAAATTCTCTATTTTCATTTTAGAAAAAAAAAATCTCTATTTCGGATGTACATAATTGTATATAAAAAAAATGTACATACTTTTATTAAAAAAAATGTACATAATTATATAAAAATGTACATAATTGTATAACACAATGTACATAATTGTATAAAAATGTACATAATTGTATAACACAATGTACATAATTGTATAACATAATGTACATAATTATATAACAGAATACACATACACTCTGTCGCGTCAACTCCCCACACAACTTAACAAAACAACGTCGTTTTGGGAGGCGCGGGGTGCACATTGCTATGTGCGCTGTGGTGCACGGTATAACGATTGCACATGACACACTACCAATAAAAAATGACATGTACTGACGATGAAGACAATGACAATGCTACCAAAAAGAGAATTAAGAAGAATTAGAGAAATTTAAATCGAAAGTAGTATTTATTTAAACTATCGTTTTTAGCCTAAATATTTAGACTAGCGTTATTACAAAGTTACAAGCATTTATTTTAGTGACATTTATAATCAATTTCTCATATATTATCTTGCATTCATATATTTTAAATTACCAATTTAAATAAACAAATTCAACATTTATTTACGTAAACATGAGTTTCTCATATATAATATTGTATTGATATACTTTGAAGTACTTATTTAAAAATAATTATTAGACATTATTATCTCTTTCACACAAAGCGCGTAAAGAAAATTAGTAGTTCAATATGTATGTATTATAGTTACATACAAATGGTGAATTTTACATATATAAAAAATGCATGTAAACAAACATAACTCGCAACAACAAATCTTGTAAATAACAAAATAAATTAATAATTTACTGAAAATTCTAATTAAAACAAATGATAACAATGAATAATCATCAAGATCAATTACTCAAGAATATCCAAAGCATATTTCCGTTGTGACATGTAGATACCTTGTTTGGATTGAGCAACTTCAATACCAAGGAAATACTTCAATTTTTCAAGATCCTTTGTTTCAAAATGTTGAAACAAATGTTTCTTTAATTCGTCTATTCCTCCCATATCATCCCCTGTGATCACAATGTCATCAACATAAACCACTAAATATATGCTTTTTCCAAATAGATGTCTACAGAAGACAGAATGATCAGCTTTGCTTTGAATTATGCCAAATT